GATGAGGATCATAACTTCAATAAGTCAACTACAATCCAAAACATAGCCACTGGGTACCGACATCCATGTGGGGGTAGGAAACAGGATCATACCAGAAGCAAATCAACTACAATCCAAAACCCAGCAATCTGGCAGAGGTAGAAAAGAGCATTGTACCGTCTGCACCTCATGTTCAAGAGACCAGAGGGAATCTAGAACCCCTGACTCATGAATATGAGACACTGATAGATCCATCTGGGAACCCAACATCCGGTATCAAAAATATGTCTACATAATGTAAGCCTGCAACCTCAAAAGGGAAACTGATCAGAACCACCCTAAGCGCAGTAACATCCTCGGAAAAAAAACAAACAATTAGGGATAGCAGAAGGGAAAGAAATATAATAATCCTCAATTACCTCCACCATGACCCAAAACACTGTGGGAGTAGAAATCAGGGAGGAATATAGACATCTGTAATACATATGTGAGGACTTATATGGATTGGTTCTCCTTTAAGTCCAAAACCTGGCCAATGAGAACCGACATCCATGTGGGGGTGGGATGAGGGATCCCAATCCAATGAGTGAACTGCAATTTTAATGTCTCACTCCCTTTTGTGTTTATGTTTCATATTGGAGGATATCATGTCATCTACACCAGCTGAACACCAACACCCTACTCTCAACTGAATGTTTTTTTTATCATTTCTCTATTGTGTTTGTATTTTATTAACTCATTCAGGAGGATGCCTTCATGGTCCACCACCCCCAGTGGCTGGAACTAGAAAGTGGTAAGGACTCCCAAACTCCTCTAGGAGAAAAGGGGAGTGAAACGCGGTGGAGAGTCAAGGGAATGTCAAAACCCGAGACAGTGCAATGGGTGACGATACTGATTTATTCAGTACAAGACATACTAAGGATGGGCAGCTATCCCTTCTGCTTTACCCATATAGTCCATGGGTAGTGCAGTCCAGAACAGGCATATTTATGAAGCAAATCTATCATGATGATAACAATCAAGTGATCTTGTGAAACACCCCATCTCTACAGTGTGCGTTGCATGGGTATGGAATATAGTATGCAAGTCAATACAGCTGAACAGTGTGGAGTTGAAAGGTTAAAGAATACCTGGTCAGACACCACCCACCAGAGTGTGGGATCCAAACAATGAATAATTACAATAAAAAAGGAAATAAGGCCCCTGAAAACAAATAAATAATAATAAAAGAGAACTTACCCAGTCAAATTCTTACTGAAGTCTGAAGAATGGAGACAGGTGGAAGACGATGGTTCAAATAGGAAGAAACTGTGATCCAATATGCATAATGAGAGATGGACATTTTAGTAGTAGTCCACATGCCCAATTGAAGAATTTTTTCCAGTGGATGATGAAGATGAAATGCCAGTAAAAGGTAAAGCATCGAATTTGATGAGAAGACACATGGAACAAAGTACAAGAGGAAGACAATAAAGAGAAATAAGCCAATTTAATTCAAAAACCAAACCCAATTGGTGAGGGTGGAAGGAAAAAGATCATGAACAAAGGAAGGTTGCCAAGGAATGAAGAGGTATGAACAGTTACCACGGAAGGAAACCATGCAAGTGAGATAACAGTAAAGAGCATGTACAGGACATAAAAGTTTATCCGGATTAGGCCTACGATAAAAGTGGAAAATGGAAGGAAGGGATATCAGCGAAAAGAAGGAGTTACCCTTCTTAGCTGACAAAGGTTTGTGGAGGAACGAATGATCTGGATAAAGGAGAATATATTAAGGATGGTAAAGAGTACATGAAACATCGATGGCAAACAAATCAGACCTACAATGTCCACAGGCAAAAAAAGAGAAGGAAATAGGTTTTAAGGGAAAGATGAAACAAGGAGCACATGGAAAGTGGTTCGAATGGAGTTAATGTGAAGCAGTGAAGGACCACATTAACACCCCAATCTGGAAGGGTAGACCACCACAGTAAACAACGAATCTGGAAGGAACACAACAACAGGAAAGGGAAAATTGAAAGGTGTGGGACAAAGCTTCCCAATAACCCAAAATCAAGGAGACAAAAGACCCCTGATTGAAAAGCCAACTAAGAAATTATACAATATGAGAAACAGTGGGTCATACAGCAGAAAACCCGTGTCCCATAAAACAACCCTGGGAAACATTCCATTTCATTGATAAACTTCCATAGAGGAAGGGTGAATAGAACAAGCTAGAAAGGAAGCTACTCATTGAGAGAAGCCAGATCTCCTTGCCAAGGACTGGATAAAAACCAGGCATGAAGACAGAAGACATGAAGGGCTAGATGAAGCACCTGTGACCAAGATTGATGAAGAAGGGAGGGAGGCAGAGGAAGACGTAATGGAGAGGTAAGTTGGAGCTGGAGAAGCCACAGAAACCACGGCTGAGCCGCCAGTAAGGAGCAATCAGAAGGACTTGACACAGAGTGGTATAAATGATAGATATCATCTGGTGAAGAAGACATATTGAAGGATAAACATACAGGTATTTGTTGGACCAATCCTGGTTGAATGCATTGACAGCCAGAGCAAGAGGAGCCAGAGACCAAAACAAAGGTACTTTGTGGTTGAGGGACATGGCAAATGCATCTATGTGAGGAATATCATACTGAAGGCAAAGCCACTGGAAAACAAGAGGACTGAGAGACAACTCCATTGGATAGATATTGTCTGGATGGAAAAGCTGATCCAAAACAAGATTGAAAGCACCCATAACATGACATGCAATGATAGAAATATTGTGCATGTGGGCCCCAAAAAAGAAGATTGAATGTATGAAAACAGAGGGATCGAGAATGGGTGCCACCTTGGTGATTGAGATATGCAAACACTGAAGAATTGTCAGAATGGATCATTACCAGACAATGTCTGGTAATATGAAGAAAATTAAACAAAGCCTGATGTACAGCAAGAAGCTCCTGGGTATTGATATGATAAGACCTCTTGGTCACAGACAAATACCCCAATGCTTCTTGACGATCGACCCACAACCCCCATCCCTAAAGAGATTCTTCTGTGGAAATCTGTACGAGGAGGAGGAAGCAGGACACTTTTCAATGTGCGAGTCTTGTCAACCACCATTGCAGATCATCGACATGGGTAGAAAGAAGGATAATAATAGCCTGTAAAAGATTGCGTGCAAGATTCCACCGGTCGTGAAGAGCCTACATAGGAGCACAATCAAAGGGGTTAAGGGCTGCCATGGAAGACCATATCCTCAAAAGCAATAGAACCTTGCAAGCTGTAAGAGCATGGATAACTGAAAGCTCCACAGAACAAAGTCAAAAGGAGAAGGTTGGGTTTGACTGAGATGGGTGTTGAAAAAAACACCTAAATGAACAAGATATTGGGTAAGTTCAAGGAATGACTTGTCCAAATTGATTAATCGGCCCATTCAAGCTGCCTCCAGGAGCAGCTGATGAGTGTGACAGTGTACTCCTGTTTGGAACAAGCTAACAGTAGCCAGTCATCTATATAATGATGAAAGTACCATTTAAGAGCATATAGGTGACGAGCAAATTCTGTGACCACCCAACAAAAACATACAGTGCCGAAGCAAGCTCAAATGGCAGTGCGCAAAATTGATAAACCACCCCGTGATAAACAAACCAAAGATATGGTTGCAACAGATGAGAGATCGGAATATGCAAGTAAGCATTTGCAACATCCATCTTGGTT